TCTCTTTACCTTCCCTTTATTCTTCCCTCTCACCTGGAAACGACTCGCGCGAGATATCCCGGGATAGTATCGAGACCTTTTTCCGTTTAACGACAAATATAAAAGATGTAAGGAATCCGATAATGCTTTCGCACTTTCTTTTTATCGGCTCAAATTCATTGACATAAAAACGACGAACGGCGGATGTTGCCAGGGACGGAACGGACGAGAATGAAAGTTGGAGCGCGCAAAGTGCGATAAAAGCGAGAGAAAGAGGGAAGGGGAGGAACGATCGCCGCCCCTCCCGGTGAAGTTACCTGAAGGACTTTACGGAAATTCTTCCGTCGCCTATGAGCGACGTACGCCGGAGAAAATTCCTTGGTTCCTCCAAGGTTTCGGAGATCCGAAGGAACCGCGATTCGGTGGCCCGGACGTTTTTAAGCGTTATAAACGTTAATCCATCCAAGAACGAGGCGGAGGAGGAACGAACGGAAACGAGGCGTAAGCGGTGGCGCCGTACGAGAGAATTCCCGAAGAGAGGAAGGGAAGGATTGCCGGGCATTCCGGTCCTACGGGGCGTACGGAGCACCTCACGGACATTCCACCGTCGTCCGTGTACGAGAGGCAAACGACAAAATGCTTTCACCGCCAAACAAATTCCTTTAGCTCGGCGAGTTTTCAAAGATCGCGGGAAACGACGAGATGCCGCACCGACGGAAACACCCCGTCGGTTTCCCTCTTATTTTCCTTTCCTTCCCCGTCTCCTTCGACGGCTCCGGCAGGGCCGCGCAAGATGTTCTCCCCGGGTATTGGGATTTGCCTCTGTTTGCCGAAGTTATCCGCCGCCTCGTTCGTTCCGCAACAGAACTGCTTCCGGAATTTCACGGATCTGCGGAACCGCCGGCTCCCGCCCGGACCACGGTAAATTAATTATGGATACTGTTCCGACATCGCCACCTCGCAGACGGCACTTAAATCCTCTGCATCCGGCGTTTTCTTCCCCGTCGATCTCGTTCGGATCGGCAAGCCAGAGACGATACGAGAAAAGCTTCCGCCGCACCCGGCGGCCGCTCTTAAACGTTCCCACGGTCGAAAGAGACACCACCGGGACCTCCCGGAAGGAAATTCCGCAACGTTGCTCTCGCACCCCCCGGATCCCGGGGCTGTCGGTTCTCGGCCGTTCGTCGCTCGTCCGAGAATACGGCGGCACTTTTATTTACGACCGTCGAATGCGCCCAGGACCTCTCTCCGCGTTAGCCCTCGTATCGTCGGGACGCGCCGCGCCGGAACGCCGCACGCCCCGACGCGAGTCAGCTCTGCCCGTCGAGGTTCGCGGAGATCGATGGCTCCATCGGCCCCCAAAAACGCGGATTTCGATTACCGACAGACTCGGGCGCTCCTTCGCCGCGCTGGCGCCAAATATTTTCACTTTCGCGCACTCCATCACCTTGAATCCCGACTGGCTGTCGGCGATTGTCGTTAAGTGCATAAATACGCGTTACGTCCTCGACTCGATCCCGACAGCGGTTCGTCAATTACTTCGACCGCGTCCAGCCGCGAGTTCGTCCTCGAGCGAAGTCGCGCTATCGCGACGCCGAATTCCTCGGACCCTTTCCGTCAATTAGGATCGCGAGTTAAGACGTTTTTAGGTGTTTTCGTTTCTGCCTTCTTCCGGCGCTCGAATTGTAACGACCCTTGGGAAGGAACTCGAACGCCCTTCGAAGTTCCCGCGGAACTCGCGATCCCGCGTCGAATTCGTCGAGTCGCGTCCGACGGTTTTGCGAGCCGGTGCGGAACGAAGGTCGACCCCAATTAGCCGAGCACGCTCGTGAACTCGAGCGAGCAAAAACGATCCTACGTATCTTTCGATTCGATTGTTTGCCGAAAAGTGCTGACTGCTCGCGAGGGGAAGCCGAAATCGTCGGACGTTCCTTTCCGCAGACGGCGGAACTTCCCGCTCCGTAGGTGCACGATTCGTTTGCTCGATACAATCTGCATAGAGAGCCGCGTTGGTCGGCCGAGTCAGTTTCGCAAAATCGCGTTAGCGGTCTTTCGGTTCGTTCGGTCCTCGGATTCGTTTTCCTCGGCGGGGAAACGCGTTACGACGCCGTTGCTAGAAACGATCTCAAACCACGCCATCTACCGATTTTTTTTTCGCATTCCTTTTTTCCGCGACACCCGGGAATTAATATGAAAATTCAGGGGAACGAGCCGCGTTTCTCGCCGTTCCGGGAAATCGGAACTTACGAGATGCCCCGCACGCGTTCCGCGCCGCCGTTTCGGCAGACGCGACGAACGTCCTTAACCACGCGGGACGCGAGGAATCCTCGACGTTATTGCCGGAATTTAAATAACGCCGAAAAATTCGACTCGTTCGCGCGACTAATAGAAATTCCATTTCGCGATCGCGGGGCCGAATCTCGGACCCGTTTCCCTCGATGCGGAAACGCGCCGTCGTTGGAAACGATTCGAGGTGCGCGCCGCAGCAGTTTTTCCCCGCCGCACTTTCCGCCGCGTTTTTTTGCCCACGGTGGCCGGGAATTAATACGAAAATTGTGTAAAAAGGACCCGGCCGACCGGCCAGCCAGCAGTCGCCGGTTAATGCATTGTTGTAGCCCGTCCGGCACCGTTAAGGGATTATTTAGTGCACGCATAATCATGAATTTCGTTCGTTTATGCGGTTGCGGTTTGCTCTCGCCTGTGCGGCCGCGCGAGTGCCAATTACGGTAATCGATATTTAGCGTCTGCACTCGGAGCGGCTCGATTCGGCCTTCTTTTTTCGTTCACCTCCGGCGAAACGGTAGAAACAGGAAAAACTAGAGTCCCTGGGTAAACGGAGTTTACTCGGGCTAAAACCCCCGTATTTTCTCAGTTTTACTGCTTTTCTTTCGTTTTCACTTCATTTGAATTTAATTTTCATTTTTGGCTCGATCCATTCGGACGCGCGGAACATTCTCTCCTGGATGGATGTCAAACCGAATCACCGCTCGGTGATACGAGTGCTTCCGAAATTATGGTACGCGAAGGTTCTTCAAATCTGACCCATTTTCCGGAAAAAGAGGTGGAAATGCTATATCTATCGGAGGTATTTTCCATGCTATCTCTTTCGGGGAAAGATCCGAAGGTGTACGTCGGGCCACGACCCGGAGTCTCTCATTGAATAATCGACTCGCATTCGCGCTGCATTTTGGAACGATTTGACCGATGGTTCCGCGCGCATAAATATTCCAGTTGTGGTAAAAGATCGAATAGCTTGTTTACGTAGTGCTGTATCATGAACGCATCCGTGCTTCCGACCATCTTTAATCCGAGCACGTTCACTGCCGACTGAGATGCAAACGGGAACTTTAGGATCGAATCGCAGGAAAAATGTAATCTTTCGGAGTATCGCGGCATTCGCGGTTCGGACTGCAGCGTGCAGGAACGACCCCTGCCGAAACGTCACTTCCGGTCCTGCGGTCGAGCATCCGAGAAACTCGCTTCGTCCCGAGAAGAACGAGGAGACGATGTTCCGGAGAAGCGTCGCACAATGGCGAGGAAACTCCGCGGGTTGCGGTGCCTCCGTCTAACTGGCAGGATGCGCCACTTCGAGTTCGCACCTCGCGGACCGAATTCGACCATACTTACGCCCAGGTCGTACGATCGTCGTTCCCTATTCCGAGTCATTCCCCGCATAAAATGGAAATTCGCACCTCGGGATTTAATTCCGATTTTTCGCGTTCCTTCGGCGGGTAACGCGATATTTTCCGACAAGGAATCGTTTCCGAATTTCCGGCATAGCACTCGGAATGCGCCGTTTTTGCCAAAGTAACCGTACAGGGATGATACTCTCGAGAATCCGTACACAATGGCGGGGAAACTCCACGAATTGCGGCGTCTCTATCTAACCGGCAAGACGCGGCACATTGCACCTGCACATCGCACGTGATGCCGGGTATACGAAAAAGCTGCTAAACCGCGATTGCTCTCTCGCTTACTCTCGATAAGCTCTCTCTCGACGTAACCCCGGAGAGAAACGGAGAGCGAGGGAGACGAAGAACTTCGAAACGAGGGATCGACGGCTTTGGATATAGGATACGAGTCGGGAGAACGGATCGTCGAAACCTGCCTCTGCTTATAAGTCGCGATCGATACATGCTAAATGTCTCTTCGGATCGACGGAATATCCGCGCGCTTCGACTCTCCTTTCTTGTCACGAGATATCCGGAGGAATCTCGAGGCCCCGGAAGAGATCCACCCGTCTTAATCGTTCACCCCGAGCCGCGCGATCGATGGGTCATTTTATCCAGGCGTGGGCCAAAACCCTATCGGCGAATGTAAAGACGCGATTCTCCCCATTCGCGAAGATACGAAAGACGTAAAGGCGCTTCGCGTCGAATCGGGGCAAAAAATGGCATCTCCGCGGAATCGGAGAGGCGCGCCGTTTCGCACCTGCACGTTTCGCCGCGATGCGAGGCGTCGAGGAGGCGGTAAAACCGCGAATGCTCCTCCGCCTTCTCCCGATGCGCTTTCCTCCGACGTAACCTCCGAGAGAGAGACGAAGTGCCCCGAAACGAGGGAGGGACGGGTTAGTTTAGGGGAGACGAAGGGAAGAGCCGCGGCCGGAGGCGCGATGCGACGCCAGAGACAGCGCGGCCATCGGTCTTGCCGTGGTTTTCTAAGATCCCGAAGTTTATCTCGCGAGTTTATCTTCGTATACGGTACATACGAAGCGATCTAAGTTTCATCCGGGGATGGCGGACCGAGTCGGGGCAGGAGTCGCCGTTGCCGGAGCAGAGTTATCGGCGGCATCTCTCAAGTCGAGTCAAAAGCTTTGCTTAACATCGGCCACGATGCCAAGTCCGAACGCTCCATCGACTTTCGCCGCCATTTTTCACCTCGCGACATTACCCGTTGTATCCGCGAAAAACGAAGCGTCTCGGCCGACGGAAAAATCGGGAGGGCACCGAAAACGACCCTCCGCGTTTCGCGAACGCATCGATCGCGTGATTTCGGATTAACCGGACATACGACTGCTCCAGGAGCAGTTTGGACCGGAAACTCGGGGCCCTCGACTAGGGAGGATTCCTGAGACTCCTGGCACCGGGGTCGCCTCCTCGCGGACCGCTGGTCCCGTAGGAAGTGGCGGTTATCCCGAATTCATCGATCGTCCCCCCGAGCGTCGTCCGACCGCTCCGCATCCAAGGAAGGCGCTCTCGCGAGGTCGCGACGCCTCGTCATGGGCAAATGTCCCCGGATTTGCCGAAAAAAGAAGAAACGCCCGTCGTCGCTCGCGCCTCCCGACAACCCCGAGGACTCCGACCACGAGACGCCACGCTTTGGGAGAGATTAGTGTTATTAGCTGTACCGTATAGACGTTATTCGTGAAACGGGCTAACTTAAGAGATTTAACGTTTAAGCACCCCGCGCGCAAGGAGTCGGATTTCTCGTTTCCTGGCCGGGTACCGAGGACCTCTCGCGCTCGAACGGGCCGCACCGTTTGCACCTACGCCGCCGACCTCGAGACGTAATCACATCGCGAGTAATTGCTCGCAACTGCGGAAACTGTCGTAAAACCTCGACTACCGGAAGGACTCGCGTTCCGGAGTGCCCGAAACGCGCTCGCGGTTCGCGGTCGTGGATGCTAACTTTTGAAGATCGTTGCGGTTGCCCGCTTCGTCGTCTCCTCGAATAGCCGCAACGGTACAGCGGGTAACCCTGCAGACGGCTAGAGATCTTTGCAAATCGCTTACCGTTACGGTGCCATTTTCCGACTCGAAACATTTGCCCTTTTTTTTGTCTCAATACCAGCTCGATTACGTTTCGAGGTGCTTCCGGATCGCGACGGGAGAGGCAACGGAAATTCCCCGAGGTTGATTTTCCGGGCGCGAAACGGTCCGCAGGGTCTTCCCTGGATGCTGCCGCGAGACATCCGCAAAGCCGGAGAACCGAAAAGCCGACGGGAAGCTCGCCGAGGATTCGACGCGTTTCGAGAGTCCTCTCTCGGCGGCGTTTTGCGTAAGCGTTCCGTAACTGCGAGCGGATGCCGACCGATCGATTCGCGAGAAAGGTTCGTCCTTCTTTTTCTCCTTCCCGGCATCCGAACGTTGGATCGTCGAACCGCGGAGGTTCCCGGGGCCGCGAGAAAGAGAGAAGGAGGAAGGGAGCACTTTCCTCGGTGTCCCGCACGTCGCGCGAGCCGGCCGAGGCTTACTACTTTATTAATAATTAACTCTGTCATTAAGATTAATGAGTGTTCCGCGCGAGAGTTCGCAGGAAGGCACCTCGGAGCGGAGGAAGAGCCCCGAAGTATCGCGACGCCGTCGGCTCGAGTAATCTCCAGTGCTTTTCGAGAAGCTGCGAACTCGCGTATTCCTGGCTGTTAGGCGAGGGTCACTTTCGGACTAATTTCATTCCTCCTTCTTCCTTTTTTCTCTTGAGCGCGAAAATGTCAGAGTTTGCCAGGGTTATTGCATTTCCCCGTCACCGCGCGACTAAGCTTCTTTTTCAAACAGTTTTTCCGAAGGAAGGGGTACGTCTCCGAGGGCGTTTTGCTGCAAACGCTCGCGAGCGCATATAAATAAATAAATAAATAAATATATATATATACGTAAGAGCGAAATGAATATTGTAGCCTAACCGAAACAAGTGCGTTTGCATTACGAAGACTTAATAAAAGTACACGTTAAAAATGCCGAGACGTTTCCTTCCCTTCTTGGCGCTTCGTTCGGTGTCGGGCATTTCTGGCCTCGTCTCGTATTCCCGCTCGAAAAAATGCAAATAAAAGGGGACAGAAGTGCACGAGAAAGCGGGGGGAGCTCGCGTTTCCACCGTCCCAGCTATCCGACTGCCCCCGAGCTTTATTTGAATGGGACCCCATAAAACGAGATTCACAACCCCGTTCGCGTCACTACCAGTGCAGTTCGCTGACCGTACGCGAAGAAGGGGATGCGCCATTCTCGGGTCCATTGTTTGTTTGTTTATCGCACTTTTCGGAACTCGAAGACGTTACCGAGATCGCCTTGGAGTCTCGCTCGACCAACTTCGACCCTGGCCAGGGAATTCGGGAGATCTCGCATAGGGATCCTCACGAAAACCCGAAGCTTTAACGAAGGAAGAGGAATTCTTAATCCACCGAAAGCTCCGCCGTGACAGGTCGTCGTTCTTCGACCGACGATTGCAAACGTCAACGCAAACCCTCTGCGAACGTCTCGAGTTCGGTGATTCGATCGAATATTTGTCCGTACTCGCAGAGGAAAGAGAACTCAAAAAAGTCCCTCGATTATCTTTACAGGCGACTACTCCGACGCACGACTTCGGCAACGAAGGTACTACCTTGAGAGCTCCCGAGTTTAAATATAATTTTAACTAAAAGCTACGACTGAGGAAAACGGCACTCGTGCCTCGATCTCGTAAAGGAAGACGGAGAGTGCAGGTAATGTGAAGATTTAAGAGCACGACGACATATGCGACGTCACCACGGTGCACGAGCGGTACCTCGTGTCGCGACACGACCTCTCGTTGGAACACGGAGAAAGAAAAATGTGCGTTCCTCTTGGAAACCGTCCGCGCGGTAAGAGATAATATTTCTCATACAAAATTACCGAGTCAGAAAATATATCGAGAAATTGAAACGACGCGAACGTTTCGACCTCGAGCGAGCATCAAGAGTGCCGGGCGGTATCCGGATTTCGGAAACGCGCCTTAATCCACGAGAACGTCGCATCGCATCCTGTGTACCTTCGAGGTAAGCGTCGTGGCCCGGATTTACGTTATAGCTCGTACACCGGTCCAGACCGCAAGAGGGTCGGGGACGAACTCGCTACGAATTACTCTTGGCGAAGCCTTCCTCGATCGATAAGGACCTCCGCGTAAATCGAATCGATCCTATCAGGGATATGCTAACGACCGCGAGGCTTCCTTCGCGGTGCCCTCGTGCCCCTCCATCGAGAGGTTAATCGCGAAACCGTGTAAGGGGTCCAAACGGATGATTTTGCCCCGTCGATATTTAACTTTGCAAAAATCCACGTAATCTCGTCTAACGACGTCGTCGATTCGAGTCGCGGACAGGAAACGGGCAAATAAATTAATCGGTAGCCGAGCGCGAAGAGGAAACTTGCGAAACATCTTTAACGAGTTTTCGAGATCGACGGGCAATTTGGTAATGACCATCGGAGAAACCCTCCACATTTAAATACAATTCATTAAACCCATTTTAAATTAAGCCGATCCCACTTTAAGCCCTGCCTCGAAAATAATGCCAGCGGTTCCGCTCGTTACAAAAGTTCCTTCCTCCCTGTTCACTCGTTTCTTTCCCCCAGGCGTACCGTATTCCAATAGGAGTACCGTGTCGTGTGGGCAGCTCATCAAACGCGATTCATTGTACTCGAGATGTCCAGATAAGAAGTTTAATTACTTTGAGACGGCGAATCGGTAGTTCCAACTCGGTCGAAACTGTCCCACGTGGAACGGTGCCACCCGGCCGCGTCTCCGGCGTTAAACGCGAACCGATTAGCGTCTTTGACACGGGCCCAGGGGTGGTATCGCAGCCAGGGCTGCTTTTCCATTAAGAGTTCCTCTTTTTCGTTTCAGCCTGATAGCCTTCCATCCTTTCTGCAACGCAGGAGGTCGAGTGAACAAGACGAGTACTCGACTAGGTACTCAACTCCGGCACAACTGGTCCGGTTGAGAAACCCGAGATTCTTTCCGCCGTTTACGCCCTCCGGAGAACTGGCCAAGTCGCGTCCTAATAGGATTGAAATTCTAGTCGACACCGAGGCGCAAAATAAACATTCCAAGGGCGGACCATCGTTTGATCCCGCCTTTAAGGACGGCGATTACTTAATGGCTGGTCTGACAAAGGGGAGCCGGGCATGACTTCGACCTACCGTAACGGGAAGTCGGTTGGCCCGGACCGAGCCCATTACGGTAGATAAACGCGTCCAGAAATTAAACGACCGTCCGTTTGGGCTTACCAATGGAAAATAACATTCGTCAGGTGGGCAGGAGACACAGTCATCGCCAACTGGTTGGCAGCTGCTACTACGTGCATCCTTCAGTATTTAATGATGCGATCGCGGGACCCTGCCCGTGAGCAATATCCCAACTCATCTCTGGTAGCACTCGTCCGATAGCCGGGAACGAATAGCTCGGGAGGTAACGTCCAAACGTACCGCGTAAGAAGAAACCCGACCATACCGACGATAAGGGTGGAACGGTTTCGACGTTCCGCCGCTAGGTGACTGGAACTCGCGACAGCTGCGAAACGTGGGGCCAGAGGCACTCTCTACATCTTTCAGGTAAAGCCGATTTTCACCGAGTGGCGGACTGAGGCGGACAGTGAGGAAAATGGCGTCGATATGGACGGTCGTTTCCTTCGCGTTCTCGCTACTCCTGACGCCGTTTCTCACGTTCTTACTCGCAATCATTTTCCTTGCGTCAATTGGCAAATCGCTCGGAGTTCGGAGGCTCTACGTGAAACTACTCCTCGCGCTGTTCGAGGTATTTATGTTTCGAAGTCTAGCCGAATGGCATTTGCTCCCAAACCCGTGGACGGGTTCGTGCGGTGCGGTTCGAAGTCCCTTGAAATGTTTCGTTATTTCGAGTCCCCTGAATCGACACATTTCTAGGCGTGTCATCGATCGCGCGAGGTTGGCCACCTTGACACCGGAGCATCGCTACCTTTCACTTGACAACGCGCAGAGATTAATTGTTCTTTTCCAAAAGTGAAATCGAAACGTTTGCTGCCGGCTGTTTTCGTCAATTAGTAAAATCTCTATAATCCTGCTCTTTCCGGGGGTAGAAAATGCGTCAACGCTGATCTATGTTAGCTAGAATACCTCGCCAAGAAAATAAAACGTACGCTTTTGTAACGTCGATAGAAACACCCGTTATGTTAATGGTACACGTTGAAAATGTATGCAAATAATAACATTCTATTTGAATGATGTAGCACAACAAATCAAATTTAAACAACAATTTAAATATTCGGCTGAATTGTTTTTGCCGATCGCATTTACACCTGCATCCATTATGTATGAAATGCAAATCTGACCATGGTATTTCATACATTTTACTCGTTTAGCGTACTACTTGTATCTATAATATGTCTCGCCGATCGGGGATACCCAGAACCTTTTTATTTTTTTTTATAATAACTTTACTTAATACTTGTGAAAATATGCATTTTTAGCCACGTTCAAATAAATTAATAGACAGAATTATCAGGAAATATTCCTCGTAACTTTAACCTTTAATTCTAATCAGATATTTGTACGATAAGGCTAGATTTTATCCAGATCCAATAAAATTAAAAGTAACGTCACGATGTTACGGGTTCAAAGTCTAATGTGATGTAACTCTTTGTTACCATACCCCGTTCTGATAACCTCGATCAAATTGGTAGTTCAAAGGAGCTATGCAAAGAACGATGCATATTTTCTTAATACGTAATTTTTGCACTTATTAATTATTCCCTGAATATTCAATGTAATATTGTACCTCTGAACATTGATAAAATTCACCTTATTAAGCGATAGCGATCATAAGATGTCATAATTACTAATGACTTCAAAGTCCATTGGTACAGTTAATTCAATGGAGTGAACAAAGGTTACTTGTGTTATTAAACTAAAGCTGTACTACTGTATTAAATATTGAAATTAAAATCTCACATAATAACGGCATCATTTAATTCACTGTAATGTATATAAATCATTTTCACTGATTTCTTTACTTCCTTTTTTCAAACTGTATCTCTCAAGAGAGCTGATTCATTGACATTTTATATATGTATAGATATATGCTTGTGAAATCTTATCATAATTTTTCTCGTTATTCCCAATTTCTTCCATCATGCTAATGTCACGTGGTAGCGTGTCATGTTCGCATAAGAGAAATGTTTCGTAGAATTTCAGTCAATTCATGTATGCAAGTGGCGTTCTGTCTTGTGTTCTCAAATTATTTCTTGAGTGGTCGGATGATTACAGTTGGCCAATCGGTTCAAATAATTAAGAAATTACATTTGAGAAATAACGGACCACCAAACATATATGATTGATATTGATTACAGTGATTTCATGGTGCAATGACATTTCTACAGTTCGGTTGCCAGTGACCCCTGTAAAGCGAAACTGTTACGACAGAAGATTGAACTTATCTTACATGTGTCAGGGCCATGCATAATTACTGTTACATATTCATAACACATCCACATGCTTATAAATATAAACAAGATTGTACTTTTCTTTCAAATTAAATTAACAAGTCAGCAATAGAACTCAAGGAAATTAATAGCAGAATAACATTGAGTTCTTTTGCAGCTTGGAAGACAAAATATAGAAAAAGTTAGAAAACAAAATGGTACATGGGATCAACGACAGGGTGAAAGTGAAGATGAAGGGGGTGGATCTCCAACAATCATGGAGAATTGTAATCCTAATGGTGTGGTCCAAAAAAAGAAAAAATTGCAAAACGGAGTTCTCGGAAATTCTGTAATTGCTCGATCGAAGGACCTCATTTTATTACCAGAGCCTGATGGTCACAACTGCAAAAACCATACCGATAACGAAAATTTACAAAAATCTAATCTCAGTACAGAGAAGACAGACTGTAGTAAAGAGGTAATGTTATTACTGTTTCCATGTAATATTTTTAATTCTGAGATTTGCAAAGTTTGTAAAGAAAAGCTTTACATTGTTTTAGAATCCTGTGCATCAAGGAGATTCTCTTGAGATACTGAAAAAGGAATTCGATCCAGCGATTGTTTTAGATTATATCAGGGCTGGCGTAGAAGCTATAATTGAAGATGAAGTGACTTCTAGATTCGAAGCCGAAGAACTCAAGGTTTTAGTTTATTCCGTCTTTAAAAACGAGTCCAAAGTGGTGAAATTTATAAATGTATGATTTCTAAGAGAAAACTTTTTTTTTCAGAATTGGAATCTCTTAACAAGAACAAACAGGCAGTATGAGTTTATCTCATGGAAACTTACAGTGATATGGATGTGTGGATTTGTTACAAGATATTGCTTTCTACTACCTCTTAGAATATTTATCTGCTTTGTAGGGGTAAGCATTGTTCATTCTGTTCTGTATACAATTGATATTAGAAAAACGCAACTTAAATAATTATTATAAAAAATGTATCATGATAAAACGCAGTACTTTAAACGAATATAACATTTTTAAACAGAACATTTACGGGTTGCAGGTAATGTGGCTGACTGTATGTACTGCAGTAGTCGGTTACGTACCGGAAGGTAGCTTCAAAAGATGGTTGAATCAAAAAGTGTCAATCATGTGCTTTGCAGTATTATCCAGCGCTCTTTCTTCCGTCATTACCTATCACAATGTTGAGAATAGACCTGTGACAGGAATTTGTGTAGCTAATCACACTTCTCCTATAGATGTACTCGTCCTTATGTGCGATAATTGTTACTCTCTTGTAAGTGTCTTTATCTCAAAAGTATACAATAATATACTGTAATAACCAAGTTTAAATTACAGATAGGGCAAAGGCACGGTGGTTTTCTAGGAATTCTCCAAAGGGCTTTAGCAAGAGCGTCTCCTCACATATGGTTCGAACGTTCCGAAGTAAAGGATAGAGAAGCAGTAACGAAAAGGTGATTCGCAGTGTCTTACGAGAGTAAGGCTTCGAATTGTAGCAATGCCTAACAAAATTTCTTAATGTAATTTTTCAAATAGGTTAAAAAAACACATCTCAGATCCAACGAATCCACCGATATTAATTTTTCCGGAAGGCACCTGTATTAATAACACTTCAGTGATGCAATTCAAGAAAGGTAGCTTTGAGGTCGGAGGTGTCATTTATCCAGTGGCAATAAAGGTGATTATTTCAGACATGGGAATGAGATTTTGTTAAACGCGATTTAAAATTTTATAATTTATATTTTGTAGTACGACGCAAGGTTTGGCGATGCGTTCTGGAACAGCAGTAGATATTCCATGCTTCAGTATTTGTACATGATGATGTCTAGCTGGGCAATAGTCTGTGATGTTTGGTACCTTCCTCCCATGTACAGAAAGGAAGGCGAGAGTGCTATTGACTTTGCCAACAGAGTGAAGTCCGTAATAGCAAGACAAGGAGGTCTCGTTGACCTGCAATGGTCAGTTGTCCAAATAACTTAACTAACAAAGTAGTTACGATTGGAATTGCAAATTACTACTGAATGAGAATATGTCTTCTCAAGTTACGCGTGAATTTTCTTACACGATTCTTAAGTAGATACTTTAAATTTCAGGGACGGACAACTAAAAAGAATGAAGCCCAAGAAGGAGTGGAGGGAAAAGCAACAGGAAGAATTTAGTAAACGTCTAAAAGTCGAATAGACCATCGCGCAATTTTCTAGTCATAAATTTGTAATGCATGTAAAATGTGTGATAACTGGTTAAGTTCAAGCGCTGAACCAGGTATATCAATCATTTTCCGTAATACTCGATGTCAATCACTCGCCAAGATTTACAATCAACCCGAGTCTCCTTGCTTCTACAAATGTGGTCTCGGAACGAAAAAGTGCAGAAAAGTAACCATTTAAGTATCTTCATTCACGTGCTCAATCAAAACCGGATTGTTATGTAAGAACGAAAAAAGATTAACGATATTAATAAAGCGTAGTATTTGCGATTATGTGCCCAATCTAATAGTGTGAAGAATTTACTTTAACACTGGAAATAACGGTATAAATAATTTCTTTGACTGAATATATATATTTTATATATTTCACATAAATTAAATTAGGTGTGATTGTAATGCTAAGCTTATGTCTGTATGGGCCACATTTGCTAGAAACAAGCATAATACGCAGTATCGTTATAGCGAGTGTATTATATGTCGATAAAGTGTATAACGATACTTGCCGTACAGTCATCCATTTTCTAGATCGAGTATACATTTCACTAAAATGAAATAGGCTTCATGTTCGAGTAGATCTTTTGATGCACTTTTCAGACCTAGGTAAAATATCGCTTAAAATGAAAAACGATAGTGACAATATTTTACCATGTTTCTTAAAATAGGATTTTCGGACATTTGAATAAGGTCAACAATATTTGGATAACTTGTTTCGAAGATAACGTCAATAAAAAAGAAATAGTCTATAACCAGTTCCTAGTGTTAGATATTTTACCTAGATCTGTTTAATAATTACATAACGGTTTAAAAGCCATGTGAAAGTCATGTGGTATCAAACGTATCCCAACTTCTCCAGAAATTGATTTGGGTGCAGGGAAACTGATGTTTGTTATCTATATATTCTATATTTATTAACCTTTTCGAGGAACGACGCAACGGATAGGGGACACGGTCGTGTTATCCGAGGGCTTATGAGAAATTAATAGACTTTAGACGTTAAGTTTTGTTACCGCTAGGCCAAAAATTACCCGAGCGTATTTTGCTACTTTTATACTTCAAGGGCTTTTGAGATCACCAAGTTGACAACCCCTACTCGCTACGATCTAGGAAGGGTGTGCATCATGCCTTTCCAGTTCGCGAGTCCTATTTTTAGATTTATTATTGTGATACGTATCTTCAAGTACAGCTGTGTTGTTCATTTGACGCTAGAAACTGAACTTTATCAGTTTTGTGCAACTCTGAATTTTGTCGGTCCCGTTATCTATAAGCGAATGGAATTAACAAATAAATCTTCCATATTTATTGTCACATCTCTTGATAATTATTTATTATAAAAATGTAAGAATTTTCGGGAATTTCAGTAGAAAACTTATAAAAAGTGGTACAGCTACTTTTATCTCTCTAGGCAGTTCATTAGACCTTTTTTTCATCTTGTTTTATCTTGATTTATAAAAATTAAAGAAGTGAATTATTATCAATGCCAGAAGTTCTTTATAACGAATTGTGGGATACATTAATACACAAAAGAATGATGATCGAAGCTTTTCTGATTGTATAGAATTTATAGACTCTGCTAATGCACGGTAGTATCGAAGTTTGTACATAACAGAATGTATACATATCTAGAATGATTGTAGCTAAAGATGTAATACAAACGTAGGTATATGCATGATTTAATTTTTGATGGATCAATAGTTTGCCTAAGTGTAGATAACGCAGTTGTTGAAAGCGCACTTTTTAAATTTGTTTGTTCTCACACACTTTTGAAATATATCGTGTATGAGCAGGAGAATATATTTTTATATGCTAGCTGTTAATTATGAATGAACCAAACAAACGAATATTATGTACTTCCGTCATACAATGTCAGAATATTCTATTTGTAATATTACCTAAGCACTATCATCACGATAGTTTAAATGGAGCATAATAAAGCATCAAAAGGTGTATCGCTGGATGTACAAGAATATACATTTTCATATGTTCCATAAAGATGATTTTTATTTGACTACTCATCAAAATGATGGCGCAGTAGTCTGAAGACAAGAAAAACTAATAAAAATTATTTTGAATGCATATTTCATTAAAACAAAAAATAGTTATATAGAAGCCATTCATAAACTAGATCACCTCATGGCAATGTCAACTAATATCATAATACTTACCAATATATTATGGAATATAATTCTTGTATATATCATACTGTTATAATAATGTGTTTTTGTGTAATAAAAAAAAAGAGATACAACAGTAAACCATATAATTATTGACACATTTTGTACATTTTGATAATTAACATTCGTCGTAAAAGTTATCAAGGTAGAACTCTCTTTTTTTTCTAACATTTATTTTTTAGATCACATTTAAAGTTATTAGTACATAAATGTTTAAATAATAGACTACTCACAACTGATTTGAATTTTTTCCTTTTCATCTTTGGATTCTTGTTGTTCTTTGAAAATTTGTATTAATTGTTCCGTTGCAGTTGGTTCTCTTCTTAAATATGCTCCAAGTTTTTTCTATAAATAATATTTGAATAGTTATTAGGTTACAATTCTTTTATCGCCATTCCTATCAATTGATCTTTCCCATTTATAGTATAAAAATGTACATACGTCGGGGAATTGTATTATGTTCTCAACAGGGTCCTTAAAAGTAAATGGTGTCCATGGTCCTTGAATAGACGGAAATTCGGTGTGGAACTTTTTGCGCAATCGTACAGCAGACCCATCGCTAGCTTGGGTACGCACCAGTTCCATCCATTTAACAATTTCTTCACGAGTAAGATTATGACAACTGATCCAATGGTTTGTACCGTTGACTAAATGAAATTAAACTGAATTTATTTTACTTAAAATTATTAATTTCGCTACTATTCACTTACGATATTCTGCATTTATGATAGGTGACCGGTGTCTCCTTGGTTTTACATAAACCACAACTCCGGGATTTTCCTTTGCATAATCCAATAAATCGTGCTCCAGAAATTCTCTGCACCGTTGTATTAAATAAATAATCATTCATCGATTTTGCAGCCGAACACTGCTTTGACTTAAATTAAGTAACAATAACTTTAAAAAAAAGTGAGGTTATATTGACCATTCGTACTCACCGCACACCACGACTTCCTCCATGATTTTTACAAAACTTTAAAGTTACTCGTTGCAGTTGGCATACATATCTACCAATACCGTTATTCAAAGGAGCCCGGGGAAAACCGAATTTCATAAACAAATTCTTGTTCGACATTTTCCCGACGTTGATAACTTTTACAAATGAAACTCAAAATGGTGCTCCGAGCGCCGCTCGGCGGTGTGTTGATTCCGCGACCGACGAACTGCGCATGTCGGAGCCAATCCACATTTTTCTCTTCAAATTGTAATTGAAAACCTTTGACGTGTGTTTTCACGTGTACATGCAATAAAATGCATAGAAACACCACACACGAGTACTATTTATCGTTATCAAAATAATCTATAGTCATAAAATTCTATATCTTACGAGCTATCAAACCAAAGAGGCTCGATAACGTTGCACTTAATCAGGGGTTGCGGAAGTTTGGCAGTTTTTGGGAGATTAATAGGCAAGAATTCCCCGGGCCAAAGATGGATAGCATTCATACAAAGACATCCAACGAGGGTCCCGTACAATAACGGAGCCAGGATATTTAAAAACTTCCCTCGCGTATCCATTTTTTTCGGCCATATAAACACCAACCTGGATCCACCTATCGCAAAAAACAAACTTCCGATTTCTCAATTTCAGGAGAGACTACAAAAACTAGTCAGAATTGTAACGAATGACTAATTAAATTGTACTTATACCATCTCTGATCTTCCTAATGCCGGAGGAAGTCAGGCGATGAGGACTGACACCATCAGGAGCACTGAAAATATTGCTGGTCAAGGATTTTCGTTTCCGGTACGAAAATGCTCTTCCTCCGTCAGGTTTCCTGTCCGATTGATTTTCAAAGCAATCATAATCGGTATCGACGCTGACAAAATCTTCGGAAATCGGTTCATTTTCGGGCTCTTGGACGATACTTCCGATGGGTGTGCTCAACGACGCTACATCGTCTTCAACGTACTCTCGAGGCGTGAGGAAGGACTCTTCCGATGTACTATTTTAAGTGTTGGAATAAATTAATGCTAAATAGAATACGTTACTATCACTAGAGCCACTTGTGTAATCCTTGAAAATTTCCAAATGGGAGTGTCAATTTCTTAAGACCCTGCAACTCAGGTCCTTGTTAAATATATTACTAATTCGATGCACACTCCCGTACGAAATATTTGTACAAGACTTCCACTATAATGTTCCCATGTGAACTAATTCAGTAAAATATTCCAATAGAAGCTTACTCCTGGATCATGTAGCTGGCATCCTTCCGACTCGTTCTTTGAGCTCCTGATGACAGAATCAGGATTATATTTTTTGGATTTCAGTGATAAAAAATAGACATGACGTTTTCTCAAGAAAATGTAATGACTGCTATGAAAGAAAAAAACAGCCACATTTCGGGTGCTACGCCCTCGAATTTCCCCCCGTGATATAACTGTTGCTAAGAAAAAGCCATTAAATTCTTCAGCTACGATTTGGAGATATGAGTGACTGGTCGAAATGTTAGTTTTGACGCTGAATATGGGAGAACCTTTTGTTTATTCGGAATAACGCGGAGATAATAAATATATTCGGTAACAAGTTGATCAAGGTGGCTGCCAAGCTACAGGTTGTATCGGAAGTCGGCACCATGTCAGCACTGTCAGCTGACTTTGACATATGACAAACTTGGCCGAATCTCAACGCCGTACCACCTTGTTTTATGGCAACGTTTAAATTTTAGGTGAAAGAGGACAACGCTATCAAACTTTCAGTTTCCTAATCTCCTTCGTCCGCATAGATGCAAGAAATCATTAAGGCACCATGGCAAAATCAAATTCACGTAGGTATTCTCTTGTCGCTCATATATAATTTTATCTATCGTCCGAAAGAAGGTTAAGTATTTTTTTTTTTAGCCATCTGCAAAATGTCGAAATTTCACGAGTTTCTGGATTTATGTTCAAACCTATTTATGATTACCCTGACGTTAATTCTCTGCCTTTACTATACTTATCGATCGACTATTTCTTTAGAGTATGGGATTAAATAAAATAACGTCGGTTATCAAAACATAAAAATTTTAGAAAATCCGTATAATAAGACCGTTTTATCTTTAGAAGATCCAACATTGTCTGCCGAACCAACATATCAAAGTAAGATTTATTCCTGCCCCATTTTGACTGCTCCAATCGTTCCGTGAAATTAATTTTCAATTGTTATTTTAATATTCTGCGATAAATTCGTAATTAAATATAGGGTCAATTATTTTCAGAATCCGGGGAAAGGCAGCAATCGAGCCTTTCATATTTGGCAAACACCGTGTCCAAATTCGAGGAACGTCGAGGAGATCTGGTGGACCGTCAGCACCACCTTAGGGACAAAATCACGACAATGGAAAGGTCCGTGCCAGCCCTGATGGCATTTAATATGTGGCTGGCAGCCGAGAAATGCGAGGACGCGCCCCTTTGTAAAGTCAAAGAGATTATGAATAAATTTTCACCTCATCCCGACCCCACGGAGAAACTCCTGGAGAACCTAGCGAACGCCGTAAAGAACTTCACCGGGGAGACCGCGGAATTGCACGTACGATTGCATTCGACATTCGAGGATCTTTGGTAAATCTCGCTTCCGCTAGTAGAAAAATGTGCCACCATGTCACGTATTTAGAAAAATAGACATACATCGACTGTACACCTCGCGTATCTTCTTTTTCAATAGAAATTTTACCTAGGCGGACGTAACGGCACCGTCGAAAATAATTTAATCGGTTGATCGTTGCAGGATAAAATAATAGCTACCGATATTAAGCTGGAAGAATCTGATATGGAACTGGAGTCGTTAGAACTCGCAAATAAAGAGTTAGAAGAAAGAGTTACGGAATTGCAAGAGGAGGTGAAAAAATATACCTTTCCTAGTCTCCACTCCATCCACTCGGAGGACTTAGGATGCTTGACGAGAATTCGTCAATTAGGCGAAGCAGAAGCGAAACTTCGAAATCAAGTAAAAGATTTGGAAGAAAAGGAAAGGCTCTACAATGAGCAGATGACGCAAATTTTAACTTCGAAGGAGTTTCAAAAGGCATCCGGTACTAAAAAAATGACTAGCCGTATTCAAGAATTAGAACTCAACTCGAAAAAGATGCATTACGCTCTTCGGAATCACAAATATAATATGCATCAGATGAAAAAGAAGCTCATGCAAAAAGACAAGGAACTCGTAAGTAAGCTCTCGCATAAAATTATGAGATTATCATAACTTTTATAATTCTTTGAGGCTTCTTGTTACAGGCAAGACTCGATTTGTCCTTTCGAATACCGGAACTTGTTGGAAACGGAAGACGTCGACAAGATCTTGATTCTTTGATGATTAATGAGATCGTAGGGCAAAAAGCCTGCATCGAATCGGAACGCGTACCTCAACTCCAAAACGAAGGAAATAAACGTACGAATACTTGTGTTGCCGCTAAACTTGAAACGAGACCATGCCCTGGAGTGATTGCAAATCAGTGCCCCGAAAAAGTCGAAAGTAAAGGAAGGTCGTCGCGGGTGGTAGAATGGCTGAACGATACGCAAATTAAAAATTCCTCGAAAGAACCGAAACTCGACAACTTGAATAATGCCCTCGAGGGTTCAATTGCCTCTCAAAAAGATTCACCGAGGAGAGATTTAAATCTAAAAAATTTCCCAGGAGGAAAAATCCAAAATCATTTCAAGCATTTCTCCCAAAGACCTCCATGCCAATCTTTATGCCCACCGGCAACTTGTTGCATTTCCATTTCTCCAGGTTCCCAGAATTCCCCACGACGAAAACCTTGTCAATGTGCCACCGCATCGTCAACACACCATCCCTGCAAAAAAAGATCTACCGACTTACCTCAAGATTCTCTACGAAAAAAATCTACTTGCACGAACAAACCGTTTTGTGAACGACCACCATGTGTGACTCATGCATCGGCATTCTGTCCACCTATTCGAAAGAGTACAGTTGGCCATGAGTCTCAAAGTCGTTCTTCCCATTTACCAAAGTGCGGCTCGGAATCGAAGCCTAGGAAACAGAAAATCTTACCTTCTCGCAAAGAGTACCATGAACCGCGAGATCGCCACGAAACTTTAGAACGATGTCGATGTTCCTGCAAAGGCCGATGTGCTCTTGGAGAGTCGGAAGTTCCTTGTAACTGTGCTTCTAATGATTATCAGACTACAATGGGTTATCGTCCGGAAGCGATCGATCAGCCTAGTCTCCTACAGGATCTTATTATCAGCGATGAGGAATATTGCGAGTATGAGTGCGATGACGTGGCAAACGAGTTCTGAGTAGAAAACATTCAACATAAAATTCGTGTATATTTCCAAGGATTAAACATAGACAGTTACTCGGAATTACCATACATTTTCATTGTCATCGGAACATTTTAGCTCATTCGTTTAAGCAGAGAAAATTGAAGAAATATCCGTGGTTAAATTAGAACTCGATGTGGAACGGATAATGCTTATTGTGAACGGAGCTAAAAAATACAAAATGGTACAAAATTGGTTATAATGGATGAATCCACAAAATTCTAGAGATCACGAAGTGTACCATCAATTATGATTCCGTAAAAAGTTTACCTCGACATGGGGCAAATCCGTCCATTGCAATCAAAGGTATGAATAAGTTGGATGTCTTCAGGCGCCAGAGTGAAATCAAAGATTTCAAAGTTCTCCTTCAGGCGTTTCTTTGAAACCGATTTTGGTATAACGATGTGTCCACGCTGAACCTGTTTCGTTTGTTTTTTTCTAGTAAAACCGTTAAATATTTTTCCTCAATTGCGCTTCATGTTTTGTACAAATTACCTGATACCGAAGGACGACTTGAGCCGGCGTTTTTTTGTACTTCGTGGCCAGCGACTTGATTTTAGGATCCTCTAACAGTAACGGATCATTGGGTTTGGCCCAAGGTCTGTCCGGAGAGCCAAGAGGGCTGTAGGCGGTTATCACGATACCCTTCGACTTACAGAACTCGGAAAGTTTTACTTGAGGAAGATAAGGATGACATTCCACCTGATTGGTAGATGGCTTCACCTTGCAGTTTGATAACAATCTATCGATTTGCTGGGAGTTGAAGTTGCTGATACCAATATTTTTCGCAAGGCCTTTTTCAAATACATTCTCCATGGCCTTCCAAGTATCGACGTAGTCAACGTCGCTAGATTGCGTCTTGCCATCGGCATCGCTGGGGAAAATTTCTTCCCCCTCTAAAAAATTGTTAAGCGTTTAGATTTGTGTTAATCACATTTGGGGAAGCGTCGAATATTGAATTCGGGTCTATATCAATTTTTTGCCGAAGTACCTTTGAAAGCGAACGGCCAATGAATTAGATAAAGATCAAGATATTCGAGTCCCAGATCGCTCAGAGTCTTCTTTAAAGCAGGCTCAACAAGGTCAGGCCTGTGTGCGGTATTCCACAACTTGCTGGTAACAAAGATATCCTCTCGTTTTATAACTCCTTCCTTGATTTTTTCATTAATAGCTTCACCGACTTCCTTTTCATTCCCGTACACTGGGGAGCAATCGATATGTCTATACCCGATGTCGATAGCATCTTTCACCGCCTGTTTCACCTCTCCGCCCGTCTGGGACTATTAATACAAATTGAGGAAATTAAAATTATCCGTCAAATTATTACCGATCGGCAGCATATTTAGTAAAAAAAAGTATTCAATTATTCAGAACAAATTACTTATCACCTTTGATCTGTTCGATAACGAGGGTGATTAATTCTGATAAATAATAGCAAGTAACAGTTAACATATCTTTCTAGGGCACATGCTTGTGATTACCGATTTGATATTGGTTTTCGCAAAATCTTATGATATCGTTCTTTAAACTAGGTCGCTAATGATACGTAAATATTTTCTAAAAGCAGAAATAGTTACTACACATTCGTTGCTACACTGTTTCTGGCCTTAAACGAACGACCGTAATTTACTCGGAGTAGACTGTACCTTCCAGGTGCCCAGTCCCAGAATAGGCGATCGATTGCCATTATTGAACTCCACACTCGGTGTCTTGCTCGCCATCCTAAACTTATCCAAAAATTGGGAAACCGCAAAGGAAAGAGGCAGCGATTACCAAGTCTGATACGTGACGCTGACTCGAAGTGACTGACACAAACTCTCTAGCCTGAAACGGAGAGGTGGCTTTCGCACTATACTAAACGGCCTTCGGTCATTGCGTTAGCCAATCAGAATTCTCGAACGTTGAAGTTATCAACTTCAGCCCAATGGAAAGAAAATATCTATAGAGATGAATCGTATTTCATACTATACAACGAATCGTGACAAGCATTTTTTACACACGAACGAAAACAAAGTTATCGCATCGAGCTAGAGCTACGAATGCAATCGGAATGATTAGCGACATTACCGGTGACAATACATTATTTTACCACACACCCTATTTTTCTGGCAACGATTCAATCCGTCGCTAATGGATGATTCAACCAAACGATTTGCACTAATTACGAATACCATCAATTGAAATTTATCTCAGGAAGTATTGATATTTTATTTTATTTCCCCGTCACGTTTGTTTCAAACATAATTTATTATCGATAATCAACTATACTAAGAAAATCGTGATAATGACGTGGACAAGTGCAATGCCTCAAATAAATTTATTCCGTTCACATATTTGGTACAAAAGTTCTTAGTGTTACGTATCCGTAAGAAATAGACTGGATGAGAGATTGATTCATCTTAACATTATGTTACCTTAGTAGCGTATGCATTTTGTATACCTAAAATGGGATGTTAAATGGGAAGTACGGGCTGTGCGCGGTGCTGAAAAAGAAAAATGCCGAGTTGAAAAATCCCACCCAATCTTCGACCACCAGATATAGATAAGAAAAACAGAGGAACAAGTGAAGCTATTATCTTACTCGCTCAGTCCGCAAATCCTGCCATTTCTATCGAAGCTGTCGATGTACGTAATGTCTTCTGGGGACAATTTGAAGTCGAAGACGTCGATATTTTCCGCAATTCGAGACTTGGTGATAGACTTAGGGATTACTACATGCCCACGATCGATCTGCACAAAAGGAGATAAAAAATTCTATACTGTCCAATAGACCGGTAATACATCGAAATATTTAAGTCATAAATGTGATCTCAAAAAAGCACGATAACATTTCCTTAAGTACCTGGTAACGAATGACGATCTGCGCTGCCGTCTTTTTATACTTTTTGGCAAGTTCTATCAACTTCGCATCGTCCAATAATTTCGGATCGTCGGGTTTAGCCCAGGGTCTATCAGGAGACCCTAAGGGACTATAGGCCGTAACGACGATATCCTTCTCCTTACAAAACGCGGAAAGCTTCTTCTGCGTCAAGTATGGATGACATTCGATCTAAAAATTCAATACGCAATTTACTTGAATTGCTATTATGTTGACCACGCCTCAATACAAATTAAACTAACGTTAAAAGAACTGGTCTATGATACAGCATACAATTTAGGCAGTAGTTCCGCACCTGATTCGTAACGGGCTTGACAGAGGAATTCTTAATAACTCGTTCGATTTGTTCAGAGTTGAAATTGCTGACACCGATGTTCTTCGTCAATCCTTTCTTCAACACCCCTTCCATGCCTTTCCAGGTGTCGAGATAATCGACATCACTCATAATGATGGCGCCATCGGAATTTTTCGGAAATAGATCGCCGCCTTCCTTGTAAGCCATTGGCCAGTGGATCAAATACAGATCCAGATACTGAAGACCCAGATCGGACAAGGTCTGTTTGATAGCTGGCTCAACGAGGTCGGTTCGGTGAAAAGTGCACCAAAGTTTGCTAGTGACGAAGAGCTCGTCTCGTTTGACGACTCCTTCGGAGATTTTTGCATTTATGGCTATTCCAACTTCTTTCTCGTTCTCGTAAACGTGAGCACAGTCGATGTGCCGGTATCCAATGTCGATGGCATCTTTCACAGCCTGAGTGACTTCTCCGGGTTTAGACTGGTAAGACAAAAATGTAGCATTGCTAACATCTTACAAATTATTTAATAAATAAATTTATCGGATAATTTTTTTATTTAATTACGAGCACGAAATATCATTCGCCACCGTGTATATTAAATTAATAAATACGATTCATTTTCCTTTTCTTTCTCGATTGTACACATTTATTATATAATACAATTGTGAATATAGATTTAACCGATAATTCGGAAAGTACCGTGTCATTAATACCGGAATGAATAGAGAAGGCAAATGTCACGGCCCGCTGAATGTCATAATCTAAAACGGATAAGATAAAGAACCTACTCTTCTCGTAATTTACTCCTCTTTTCGTCATAAAGTTAGATAACTACGTAACTTAATGAGCACCGCTGCTACCACTCTCTTGGAAGACTCTACACTCGTTGACTGATATTTTTGTTAAAAATGTGGAAATAATTGGATCAATTATCTGCAGTTACATGTACCGAAATTAGATTCCGTTAACGACAACGGGAATGGATATGGTACGGTTTAAGTCGAAACAGCGTGCTCACCGGCTGACCGCTATTTTTTTTCTACTAGTCATGACATTTTGGAGGACTAACCACCGTACAATCGAGATGCCGCAAAATGCCGTCTTAACGTTCTCATTCTGTATATCCGTTAAGGAGTGAAACTTACATTTCATTTATAATTTTAAATACTTTCGAATAAAACTCCCTACTTCTGCCGGCACATAGTATGCGTTAGTTTTCGTCGAACGCTTGAATGCCTTTGTGACCGCGATCCTTTACAAATAACCTGGTATCTGAAATTCTTCCCGGTATCTTCCCCATGAAATACCATACCTTCCAGGTTCCTAATCCAAAGATCGGCACCTCGTTCCCGTTGTAGAACTTGACTTTGGGCACGTTCACGGGCATGGCTGCTTTGAAGGAAGAGACGCGTCTCGGTGTCGGCACCCAAAATGAAGATCCGCGTTTCGCACAGGGACGACCGCCAGCGACTGTAGGAACACCCTGCAAAAACTTTTTATAAATAATTCCCACCACTCGGGGTCCCCCCATCGGGCCGTCACGTAGCGCGCTCGACAAGATGGCGGCGCGTGCGCGCGCACCCTCTCTCGGCGTGAATTGGGCACTCGGAGGCTGCCGTCGCGCCGGCTCGCCCAAGGACGGAAGCCCCCTCTAATTGAGAGACTCGCCAAACGTCTCCGACTTATTTTGCGCCCCCCGGTCTCGCTCTGGAGGGACTCATGGAAAATTACGGGGTCCGTTTGAGAGGAGATGCGTCCCTTCTCGTTGCGATGGGAAAAGACGCGACGAATGCGAACAAGAGCTCCGAGCCGTGCTCTCAAACCCGTTATGCAATCCGCGGTGGAATGCACCGACTTGGTACGCCTGCGCAAATTAAACCAGAGAAATTCATCTTATGAACCGAGCTATCACCTTCGACTTAAGAATGCTCGTATTATCTCAACGCATGTAACTACAACTTTAAATCATTGCGCGTGCGTTAGCTAGTCCCCTGATTATTATGTACGTTTACAAGGGTATCTTCTTGTTTTAAGGATAACTTCTCTGCGATGCAACCGCGAGTCTCATCGTGGACGCGGATGACGCTGCCTTATTATAGATAGCCGAAGAAACGATAAAGGTACAATGGACTTTATTTCTACCGGCTATTATCGATTTTCAAACAAAGTATGTTTCTCCGTTTCGTTCGAAGAAGCGACAATGGCTGCAATCGTTTCTTTTCCTCGTAACGTTTTAACCTACCTTATATAATCTGCTTGAATTCTTGTACCTGAAAAACTCACGCATCGCGGACTTATCAATTCGAAAATTGCACGCATATCATTCAAAACTGGCTAATTTATCAAATGGAAGAAAATTCCGAAAAGAACGCGGTTAGCGCCTCAAAGAATACGTAATATTAATCACGCACTGAAAATAGTTGCGGTACTTAACAACAGACGCGTGGTTGGCAACGGCAATAATAGTTAGGTTGTGTTTTTTACGACTTATTCGACTCAAGGTAAATTCACATAACGCGTATGCAGAACTAGTTGCGCATTTGTTAGCAAACGGTAAACAACCGTAAAACTAACATAAACTATCGCAATATTACCTAGAAAGTGACTTTATTTTGTAGAGCGAAGGCTATTCGATTCAATCTTGAATATTTAACGGAAGCTATCCGATTTTTAAGCGCCAGCGTTATCCATCGTATCGTTACATATAATCAGCTTCGAATATACATTTCCTCTCTCTGCGATGAATGTAATACAATATGAAAATTATATTAATTCCAGAACGTGCCAGTTACCGCAAGAACTAAGTTGGCTTTAATTTGCCGGTCGATTTCTTCATAACGATAGTCATTATCCGAGCGTTTCCCTACCCACTGGCTTCAAGGATTATATTTTATGTAAAATTCCCAACGGCGGTGAGATCATGAAATAAAGTCGGTATTCTAGATTCAGTCTTTCCAACTCCATGGACTGTCGCGAGAAACTGTCCCTTTGGACGTTGGAGTCAACCTTATTTTTGTATTATCGGGAGGAAGCCGCCGACTCCAGCGAATAGATTCCAAGTCCAAGTCGCGATTACGGTGTATACGAACAGGAACAAATACCAAATAGGCATCCAGAGCCAACCACAGCAAATTGGGCAATAGATTTTGTAGCAGACGTGACCGGGCTTCTCCTCGACCGGGCTCCAAAGCTTCTCGCGATTCAAGCACTCCTCCAGTTCTCTCTTCAGAGAATCCGACAGTTCTTGGCCGATCTCCTCCTCCTCTTCCTTCTTCTCGCGGATATCCTTGAAGGAACAACCTTCTCGATGCCTACCAACCGCGCGGAACCAGGAGAAGTAGCTCGCCATCCCCGTAAACTCGGAAAGTTTGATCCGCCGATGGTACGGAGGAGTCGTCACCGCGAGCCAAGCTCGCCTCTGCAGGATCCATGAGAACTCCGAGGCCTCGGTCTTGTACCTTCGCCTCGGTCGACGAAAGATCAAAAAGCTAACCACCGTCAGAACGGTCCTTCCCATAATGCGCTTTTCGGGATTGCGGAAGACCCCGTCGACACCGGTCGACCTCCAGATTTCACGAGGATTAGTTCCTTGGCCGCTGCTCGCTCGTACTCGCATCAGGTCCAACACGAGAGCGTTCATGTCTTTCGCCTCGAAGTACATGAGATTCTCGAAGTCGCTCTTCAGGGCGTCCAACTGGCTCTCCGAAATAACGTCCTTGAATTTCTCGGCCCAGGGTCGATGGTCGACCTTAAGAAGAACGCAACCTATCAGCGTCAAGATCACGTCCGTCACGCTCACCAGAAGATTTCTCTCGTCCCACAGAGCGGTTGAAAGCTCGTTCAGAAAAGCTCTCGGAGTGATCGGATCCCGAGAGGGATCGCAAAACGTCGGCATCTTCTAGGAAAGTCGCACGGGTCGTTTACTCGATGTCCTCGGCCGCCTCGCGAGCTCTCTTCCTCACCTTCCTTCGAATTTTCATCTCGAGGCTCTCGGGTCAAAGGAGAGGCTTTTTCGACAGGAAACTCCTTTGCCGCTCGAGGTTCCAGTTTGCGAGTTACATTTTGAAGCCGCTTTGGTCGAGCGTCGGATTCGCCGACTGCGTCGTTGACGGATGGTCGGTGATCCACTCCTCCTGTCTTCTTCCTTTCGACAGCGTGTATCGCTTATTGACAACATGGCATCGAACGTCAATGCCGAACTGTGACGAGACTTCGGTTTGGTTGAGATTACTCTGTAATCGTTTCCAGGGAACAGCGGTTCTCAATGAAGCTTAAACAAGGATGGATCTCCGTGTCGACGGAAGCGGGTTTAAACCATTTTATTTCAGTCGGGTTTGAAAAAGGAAGTGACACTTTATATTCAATGAATCGACACAATTTTCGAAGATACATGAAATTAAAAAATAAGAAGACGAGCGTTGAGAAAGAGAGCGAATACGTTTCTGAATACAGTTTTATCCGAGCGTTGGGAGCGATTTCCTTAATCGAAGGAAATCAATCGATAAATCCCTGCTTTATTTTCTGTCGCGTGTCTTGTTTGACCCATTGGCGCAATTTCGAAATTCTGCAAAGGTTCGATATTATCGCATAATGAATAGTCGCTTAAAATCTCGAAACTTCTGTTCACATTTGCAGGTTCATGCCGATGCGAAGTCACTTTCGATCTAAAAGTCACGATGCAGCTCTCTAAACATTCGGAAGAAGACGACTTGGACAAGCGGTTGTCGAAAATCAGGTGATTCTTTGGAAATCCAGAGTCAGCTGATTCCATTCGCGGGAAACTCTGCCTTCGTTTGAAATTCGTTCCTCTCTTTCGTTCCTCTGCGACCCGATTTCGTTCCGTGAAAGAATCTGCATTTTCCTCCTCGATCGGCTGGATACTGTCCTCCCTATTCGCCGAAACCGTAGGTTCGTTCCGAGGATTTTTTCCCGAAGGGCCATTTTCGAGATTTGCAACGTCGATCTCGATAGAGCTTGTGCCTAAAGCCGGATTTGACCCGTTGCTCGAAGACGACGAATGGTTTTGGAAGCCCGAATCCTGCAAAACGGGGCCTCGACTTCGCAAAAAGGTCGAGTTGCAGGCATTTTGAAAACTCGGATTGCTCGAGTCCTTCGAAGAGCCTGTCCACTGTTTCAAAATTTCCGGAGTGATATTCGAGATTTCCAGCTCCTCTATGAAGCTCGACTTCTCGTGGGAAAAGTTTCTCTTGAATTGGGTGGTCTCGTCTCGACCGATGCTAGCGGACAAATTTTCGGGAAAACCCTGAGAGGGACTTAGGCCTTCGGATAAGATCAATCGACTATCTGAAAGATCTTGGGCAACGTTAGATCGAGTTTCGGGTCGCGAGGAATCGTTTTTCTCCACAAAGAAATTGAATAACATTTCGTTCGATGCAACTTCCGTTCTGCCTTCGACTTCATCACGGTCAACGCTTTCGGACACCTTTTCGGAGAAATCACGGCTCGAAATAGCGAGGTCGATGGTTGATGAATTTTCTTGAAGATCCGGAATGGAATCCTCGATCTTGGATGACTTATCGTTGTTCGCAAGAGACGGATCGATCTTTGAGAAATTTTCTTGGAGATTCTTCACGAAAGACTCGAACTTCGAGGGGATATTTTCGTTTAGAGTCGACATTCTGGGCATAGGTAAAGCTTTTTTCTTACATCCGGATTTCTTGAAACTTTCAGGAGGCGAGATGACATTCCGTCTATTTATTTTAATGGCAAGGTTCAATGGCGACTTCGCGACGTCGCAAAGATTTTCGGGTTCTTTCTGGAAATCTTGATCCGAATCCTCGCACGCACTAGAAACGGAAATATCCTCCTTTGATACCTCGAGCTCGTCTCGGCCAGTATTTTCGTACGAATTCTCCGAGAAGCTTTGAGAGTCGATTTCGAGATCATCGACGACGTCCGAAAAACTGAAGTGCACAATTGGGGGGGTTTTTTGGAAGCCTGTGGCTTTCGAAACGCTACTCTCGTTAATACAGAGCTTTGATAACTCGGAAACAAGAGCATCGTCCTTCTCTCCTTCGAAATCCTCGAGAAAACTCGAAGATAAGAGGTACCCCTTTTTATTCGACTTGATGTTGCAATTCATTGGAGTCTCGAAAATATCGAGTTGTTTCGGCCCTTCCAGAGAATTTTGATCCTTAAGGATGTTGTCAATGTTCCTCTCCAACGACGTGAAAGACAAATCCGATCCAGTGGTGATATCTACCGAACTGTCCCCCGACATGGGATCACCGATTTCGTACTTAAATTCCTTGATGGAAGTCCAATCGTCCGTTTTATTAAAAATGTCAGCAGAATCGATAGTGTTTCTCCCTTTCAAGGATACGGAAACGGAAGAGAGGGTTCCGTTCTGATCGTATTTGAACAACGTTTCTACAGGTCTAGGTTGCGTTCCTTTCGATACATCCGTGCTTATGACCTTTGGAATGAACTCTCCACAAACCTGGAACGATTTAGAGGAGTCCACATCTCGGAAAGAATCACTTTTATTCTCGAACGTTGTCATTTCGAACTTCTGTCTATCGTTATCATCATTTTTGCAAACGGCCACTGCGTCAACGTTTTTCCGATCGTCACGATTCCATGACGCCGTGTCGCTCATCCTTTCGTTATCGTTGCCCTGTCTCGTTCGAAAAGAATCCGAAAACTCACGGTTGAATGAGTTTACGTAAACGATTTCATTTTGCAACTGTCCGTTGGTTTGCGTCACGTTAGAATACTCACAGCCCTCTTCCTCGGTGACTTCCTTCGACCTTCCGGCAAATGCCATCGCGCGAAGGAAATCTATAACGCTCTTTTTTACAAACAACGCTTTTTCGATCGTTATACCTGCGGCTGTACCTCGGTGGCTATTTAATTCAATAAACAATTTCGATCTTGAACGGAAACTTCTTCGGGTGAAATCAGGTTCCGTATTGAGTTTACGTTTGAGGAATTACTGCCGCTGTCGCTTGGAAGGCTACTTTTTTCCTCATGTACTACTACCCAATCTGAAATATTACATATAATGTATTATTCACCTTAATAAACATTTGTCAATTAAACATCACATAAGCAATAGTACTTTAAAAAATAACAATATGAATAAATATAAATTCAGCTCTTTAATATGTATTAAACTTTAGCTCTTAATAACGAATTTTAGTTTTTAATAAATACCTGCTTATAAATTACACTTTGATTCGGAATTGTCCTGTAAAAACTCGCGGAACTCATAGATGCAAAATCCAATTCATATTCGCAATAAATGCCGCTGAAATAACACGTCAAATAACGTTACAACCGTCTCAATCGCGGTACCGTGCGCATTTCATATTTCTCTCTAAACACAATAACGAGGCTATTTCACTCTGATCTATCGAACACCACCTATCACTACCCATCGTTTACTAATATTATGATCCACGAAATTCAAATTCGTATATTCGGTATCCAAAGTTTTCGAGTCAAATTTTATATAAAGTCTATTTTCTGTTTAATATTTATTAGTATATATTTTTACATATTATGTCGATGAGGTAGTCCGATGAGTATCCATCCAAGAATCTACCATTAATGAAATAAACAATGGAAAGTACCACGAAAGCAAAGGATTCCATGAGCATGTGTCGGATAAAATTCCATCCGGAGTTATAGTCAGAGAGACACATAAGTGTTCCTGATAGAAGAATTTGATTGGATGAATCATAAGTGAAGGGTGAAACTGTACAGATCGTTTCTTACGCATAAGCCGCGTATACATGCACGTCCCAGTTGTGCTGCACGAGAGATACATACTCTTGAACTTGAACTCTGTTATATTCCCATGCACAAATAATTCTCTGCATAAATATTACAGCAGGCTTTTTAATTCTCTTACGCAATAATTCTATGAAACTGATAAACCATATCAAAGAAAGCTCAGGATAATCAGGGTTATCATTGGACATAAATCACTACTTAGATAAATGTTATATGTAACTGTTAAAAATACACAACTAGGTGATAAATTTATCACTTGTCGTATATCATCACAACTTTAAACGAATAAATGGAAAAGTACAGATTTCAAGTCAACGATGTGGTATCACAAAATAAGAATAAAAATGTTTAGACATGGAAATTAACATACTCTACAATTTATTTTATACATTATATTTTTATTTTAAGTCTTCCCAAAATACAATTTTTTGCAATACTATTATAGTTCTGACACCCATCTATTAAAACCACAAAATTAGAAATCAAATGATTATGAAATAGTCAACCTTACTCAGTTATTAATAATAATATCACTTTACTTAACACAAAGAATTAAGATTCTTATTACATCGAAGTACTATATTGAAATATGATCGGATGACATTTTTCATTCTTAGCCAGTAGAATGCTTAGTAATCTATTTCAAACAACGAAACAATAGGTATTCCATAAAAAGAATACAGATGTACCAAGTATAATGAGCTTCTATAAATCAATATTTTATGTAACCCTGTAATCCCTCAATACTCAATATTGAAAGGATAAAACCTGTGTCCAGAGTACCTAGAAAAGTTGAATATATTAAAATTATATTTTGTTTATTAGCACTGACAAGTAAGCAATATATATGTAGCATAATTAATCATACATTTCATAAATCTGTACTTACTCTTTCATTACGCATATACGCTCCCCACGATCAAGTTTGTCAATTTTTGAAATCTCTTCGGGTGTCAGTTTAAAATCAAAGATATTTATATTTTCTCGTATTCGCTCTTTTGAACTTGATTTTGGAATTACAATTGTACCGATATCAATCTGCAAAGAGAAATTATAAAAACGTCTTAATTTGTTCTTTTATATTTCTCTTATTTCTTAAGTTTCAAAATGAACTATTTCAAAAAAATTTAATATACTCTCACCAGATATCTAAGAACTATCTGAGCTGGAGATTTCTTATATTTTTCGCTCAATGCTTTGATGACTGGCTCATCGATAACAACTTTTGGAGCATTGGGCTTAATCCAAGGTCGATGAGAAGATCCAAGTGGACTGTATGCGGTAATTGCAATTTGTCTCTTGGAACAAAATTCTATTAATTTTTTTTGGTTCAGATATGGATGGCACTCAATTTGATTCATTGTTGGTTTAATTTTCGCTACTCCCAATATTCTGTCGATTTGTTGAGAATTAAAGTTGCTTAGGCCAATGCTTTTTGTTAGGCCTAATCGAAAGCATTCCTCCATTTCCTTCCATGTATCTATAAAATCTACATCTCCTGGCATAGGATTTCCTTTTTCATCTAGAGGACGAATGCTTACTGCATCCACCTAAATGCAAAAATCAAACTTATGTTCTCTTAAAATCTGTATACAATTAAGGGTAACATAATAAGAAAATGTAATTAAATTCTTACGGTATAGTCAAAGGGCCAATGCATCAAGTACAAATCAATATAATCCAGTCCAAAATTTTCCAAAGACTGTTTGCAAGTCTTTACAACCATATCCGGTTTATGGGCATTATTCCAAAGCTAAAAAGTATGAATTCTATTATGTATCTCATTTGTCTCTGCATGCTTATATTATAAGTATATTATTTCTTTCACAATCCTATAATTATTACCTTAGTCGTGATAAAGAGATCTTCCCTTTTAACTACACCTTCTGCAATCTTTTCACAAAGCGCTTTCCCGATATCTTTTTCATTTCCATAAACCATGGCACAATCAAAATGTCGATAACCTGCATCAACTGCATCTTTAATTGCTTCTTCTACAACACTAGGATGATCCTAATCAATAAAAAAAAAACCATGAAACGGTACTTCCTCGAACAAGTAATGCAGTCTAACAAACATTAAATATAAATTAAACAATTTTTATTTACATCCTTTGTGGCATATACAATATGAAATATTATTTGAACGATATCATATACACAAAAAATACGAAATACTTTATTTAAGTAATAAATAATAAAAATACATTCTTCATGAACATTGCAATTTCATTGTAATCTGTTCTGGAATAACACATTCTCTTGAAACAACTGTTGAGCTTCACGATACCATGTGCGATTTCATTTTCTATGAGACTGCGCATATAACTATTTTCGCCCTTATTCAATTTTTTTTTATTTAATAACAGTTTCATTTACTTACACTGCCTTGCCATGTACCTAGTCCTAAGACTGGGATTTTTTTGCCGTTATTAAGAGAAACCAACGGAGCAGCCATTTTTTGATCTACTTAGAGAACACGCGTAAGTCAACTGAAGACTGACGATTCTCTTCGAAAGGCGCCCGTTATAAGCATGGTCGATAAAGTAGTGTGATAATTACAGAAAGAATGCTGCAGTTATTGCTAACTTCGATATCGCTTTCCAAGTCATCGTTTAAAGCGATAGTACGATAGAAACCAACAAAACGTCATGCTATTGTGAAATAGATAAGAAATATTGATATCACCAAAACACCGACAGGGAATTGCGTGCATGTTAAATGGGGAAGAGTTTCGATAGAAGGCCGCTAGACGACAGCCGCTCCGGATAACTGCGGAATTTGCGACATGGCCATCTAAAGGTTTTGTATCTGTAGTAAGAATGCTCACTTCTCGCACTTTCATCTCACTTGTTCTTTGGTGAAGCTAATTTCAAAATGGCGATGCGTGTATACACATGATATGTTTAACATAATGCGGAAAACTCTGATTTGTGTTTATGACGGTTGACTTTTTCTTTATAAAAATTGTAAAAACGAACATAAATCTTATCGTTTTCTTAACTTGAGGAGGAAAAATGACAACCGACAACTGTGCAATAATTTTATCCGGTCAAAGTATAAGTACTGGTTAACTATTTTGAAACGACGATTGCAATAAGTTTGCTGTTTTTCATTTCAAGCAAAAGTTACTAATAAATAGAAGTTATCTACTTGAAAAGTGTTTGAATAAATTAATTGAAATTTTCAAAAAAGAGCCCATTATTGTTGGCAATATTTTCACTGTTCAAGACAGACAACTTTTAAAGGTTTGTCAATCAACTGCACAATTTAATTTTCAACTGATCATCGAATAATAAGAAAAAGTACCAAAAAAAGTAATAAAGTACACCGTTTGAAAACGTAAAAAATCCTATAAAATACAATCATGAGTAGTATAGATAATGCAGAACTCTCCTCTGATGAAAATTTTGGATCACAATATGCGCTTCAAGTTGCATTTCAAACGATGAAGGAGAGGTGTCAACATTTGCAAAGCAGATTAGATGCAGTTGAAGAAGAAAATGTGCATTTACGTCTTGAGTGTGGAAAAGATACTTCAGCAGCAGTAATTCATGCTAACGAATCTAACGAAAAGAGTCTTGTGCAAGCTCTTCGGGTAAGAATGCTATTTCTATACTTGCAAGTTTTTTGATAGTATATATAAGAAAATTTCTGCTTATATAATACTACAGGACAAAATAGAAGATCTTACAAAACAGAAGTCACAACTCACACATCACATTTTCATGGTAGCAGCAGAAAACAGGCAACTATGGAATCGCCTGACTCGATTAACGAGAACAAATAAAAATTTAGGGAATCAATTAACGAAAATCTCAGATACGCTTAAGCAACATACTTCTGTACAATCATGTGACGTCACGTCATATAATGTTAAGGATGTTACAAATTTGGTAAAGAATGAACAGGGTGATAAATCCTCTCAAGTTGTTAATCATGGTTTGTGTGTTATTTTTTTAAAGGAATTTTATATCTGAAATTCATTTTTGATGGTATGTAATTTTATTTTCAGGTAATCAAGAACAAAGTTTAGAGGAAATTTCACTTAAACTTATAAACAGCATAATGTTGGAAAAATCTGAACTAGAACAACAATATGCACAGGTAGAAAAAGCATTTAAAATATATAACAGAATAAAAATTTATTTCATAGTTGTATAATACCCATATACACGTACACACAATTCTAATGGATCTAAAATTTACTTTTGTACGCTAGATGGTGGAAATGCAAAATTCTGAGGAAGTTAATCTACAGTACATTGGTTTTACTTATCCAGAAGATTCTGACACAGATTCACTGGAACAATTAAAACAACATGATGTTCAGTTATCTCAGACTAAAGAAACTTTATTAGCACAACAAGTGCGATTGAAAAAGGCAATACAGAACCTCAGGAAATTTAAAAAAGGTATAAATTCTTTTTCACATAACTACAGAATTACAAATTTTAATAACTTGAAAATAAAATGTTTCAGGAGTATTTTGCAGAAGTTGTCGTCAAAATGCAAATAAAAAAGTGTGCCAAATTGGTACTCAATTTGATTCCGATGATAGTCTTAAGGAACATGGTGCTACCCAAACTAGTCTTCTGCCACTGTCTAATTTAGTTACAGAACATTCTCAATCTGTGGAAAATAGAGATATAAGTGATCATATCTGTCCACTGTGTGGCGCATGTTTCAGAAATGCCCCATTTACCTCGTTACATGAACATGTTTTACATCATTTTACAGGCGAAGAATCAGTAAATGGATCCAAGATGGTTCAATGAAAAGAATAAACTTATGCTCTCTGTATAAACTTCAAGTTCCACTTCTTGATTCTGAAGTTAATCTTTACTATTATTTATGACGTTATTTTATACACTTGACAAAAAAATTGATGTAGTTCCATGTACGCACACACGTATACACATTCTTTTTTATTTTAATACACCACAAATATTATATTTGTAAATACTTATATTTATTAATTTGATTGACAATCTCTGGACTACATTAAACCGTATAAGATGCATAATAAATCACGCAAAATTCTATACCGTGAACAGTAAAATAACTTCAAGCAATGGCAAGTTTTAAGCCAACTCCGTAGGTTTAACTTCGGTATTTTCAGATGTTTCTTGCGTAGCTGGCTGCAGTAAATTTTGATGAAACCAGGATGGCCGTTTCTTGGGCATTTCTACAACTCGTTGGCCCTACACAATATTTGATAAACGACATTTTAATTAATATCGAAGATCGTTCAACGGTTAAGAAACATACCTTCCAATAATCATCTGGTTTCCCTTCTTTTTCTCCATCATAAATAACAATAACCTTTTCTTCGATAGGATTCACACCTAAATTTTTCTCAATTTCATCCTGCATTTCTTTCGTTTCCTTTTTGACCACGTCGTAACAGTGCTCTAATAAAATGAAAACTTGTCACGTTAACTCAATCTCAGGAAATGGAATCGTTGCTGCATCAAAACTTACGGCAGAGAAGTCCAGCTTCGTGATAATGACCGCAATTATTGCACATTAAAAGATTTGTTTTTGGGACCAAAGGCTTCCAATTATATATGGGATGGCCAAATTTTCGTTTCAATCTTTTTTCTATGGTTCGCCGACTTTTTGGTACAGCCCACAAAAATCCGTCATCCCATATATTTTTAAGAGAAATCGAATTTGGATTATAAACCGATGAAGATCCGCTATTAACGTGTACATCCATAGCGCATAATGTCCCTACATAAAAGTAAGCATAAGTGATAATATACCAGTTCTGTACGTAAAAACATGAATACAATTATTATATTAATGGTACATAATTGTAACCACGAACATTGGATAAGACGTAAGAGACCAACTTGCAAAAGTATTCAAAACAGTACCTGGGGGAAACCTCTGCCATAAAATAACCTCAATAGTTTGTTCAAGTCTTCGTAAAACGTTACTTAAACGCGTTAACACGTTACTCGCCATAACTGACAGTCAGTCTAGTTCGGTCCTCTTTAACCTTTCGTGGGTATTGGTGGGTATCGTCCCGCAATCGACGAATCCTTCGAAATACTTATCGGAATTTTCTTTGGTATCCTTCGACAACGAACCACGCGTATAACATACTTACATTGCAAGTTCTCATAGAGGCGCTGGGGTGGCGGCAAGTAAGCGATTGAGCCTGGGGAAGGATGGAGGGGATCGATTTTGAGGGGCCGGTGGGGATCAGTGGAACTCGAAAGTCTTAGCTAGTCGGTCGACTCGACTCACTACAGTTCTCGCTATGGCGTGTATAGGGTCGGGTCGGCTCTGTGCTCGCATGGAGAAGTTGTGCCAGTTTGGACATTTCGGCCAATTTCGTAGGAAAGTTTCGACGTCGAGTGTTAAATTACGCCGGGATGTCCAGCAACCGTCAGCGGTCTTCGTGCAGCGATGTCAGGTGTGTCCCGATATCGATTTCTTAACCTGCACGCGGTGATCCATCTCCGAGAAAAATTATGACTCGCGAGAAGGTCGCTCGATCGATAAAGATAATTGGTTTCGCTCCTAGATAAAGCTTCCGAAATTTGCCAGTCCTTGGGAACGATCCGCTTTCAGTCAGCTTTCCTCGAATCCGAGCTCTTTTTTCCTCTCGATATTCCCGTTTAAATATCCCGTGTGACCGCTTCGCCGGTCGCGTACCTAACCTATAAAATGTCGAGAACAGCCTGCCTTTATTCGAATCGACCAATCGGTCGGTCGGTTTCGCGCATCTTCGATGAAAGGACGATCGACTTCCGAGGAAGAAGCTCGAGATTCGGGCGGCTCTGCTCGAAGAGCTGCAAGAAATTACATAATACTCGCGCCCGGCGTGACCGAAGACGCGGTCACTGCGGGCTCGACTCTCGGAGAGAGAAAAGACCTTCGGAGAAGCGTCACTCGCTCGCGGGTCCCTCGCTCGCTCCCCAGCAGTTACGTGAAAGTTCTGATTATGGGTTTAGGCTCGAACACTACAAAGTAGAACGAAGCCAGGAAAATTGACGAATTAACGTTTTGCCTCGGTCGAGCCGTCAGCTGTTCCTAGCAGACGCCGCGCCGCGGCCGACTCGCGAGTCGTCTGCTACGGGCCTGCGCACCGGGATATTCGAATGCATCGGGAAGAGGCGTTCATCGCCGTTAACGATAGAAAAAAAACGTCCAAGGGTTTCGGGCGAATATTCAACCCTGGAAGCGACCGAAGGTGGAGGTCGACGAACGATGCCGATTTCCGCGTTATTTTTATTTTATTTGAAATTCACGATTCGGTACACGGAGTCCGCGCTCTCGGAGGCGCGCGATTTAAAGTCCCAGCCTCGCGACCCCTGTGGCGCGAAGTTTGAGTGTTCCGTTCACTCGTAAAGTATCGTCGATTTTCGGTCCTACGTCCATTTTCTCGACATACGACAAGAGATTCGAGTCGTTTCGAGAAAGTTTGGAAAATTTCCCGTATTCGAGGAAGGAGGAGCTCCGAGGCGGCATCGGGCCATTCACGTTTCCGTGACAAAGACGGCGTTCCTTATTAACGGATACAGTTAATGTTAGTGTAGGTATCCGCACGGAGTATCCAGCCGAGAGCCGCGTTCGAGTCTCATCTAAGCATCGTGCATTTAGAAAGCATATCGATATCTCTCGTTAATCTTCCGAGCACGTGGGCCGAGGAAACGCGGATTCCGCGAAGCAAGCGAGTTTCCGGTTCTTATTTTCGGGAAGATCGTTCAATGGACGCGTCGGCCCTTTTGCTTCGAGCCCATCGAGAGATCCGGGCATTCCGCGGAAAAATCGGTAACCGTGGCTGCGCTCTTCCCGCAGGACGGAAGAAAAACGACGCGTCGAGATTCTCGTCATGGTCACGAGCTCGACGGACAGGGACTCCGGCAAAGTGGAAGTTCTCTCCTCCTGCCGAGAGTTTCTCGATCCGAGGCATCGGGAACGGCCGCGAAAGCGGTTTTGCTCTCGACCGTCAGGTCGGGCCCGACGAGACGCGATTTCAAAATCGCCTCTCGTCGGGATAACCACGAGTGCGTGCCTGCCGGCAATCACCGGCCGATGGCTGGCTCCTGACCGGCCGATAGGCGCTAATCGTTACTCCTCGGTTACGACAGTCGGCACGAACAGGTGCGCGGCCGACGAGGGTCTCGACGGAGAGAAACCCGTCACGGCCGAAGGTTGCGCGGTCGGAACGGGGGCGAAGATCGCCACCTTCCCCGGAGCCGGACTCGCCGGCCTCCTAAAGGCGCTAATCCCCGCTAATCCCCGCAAATTCCCGCGAGGTCTCGTAGAAAGGGAAAGGATGGACGCCCGACGCTCGTCAAAGTTCGTACGGGAGCAAGGACTCCGGGAAGGACGTCGCGGATCTTCCCCGAAGTAGGCTAACGGGCGGATCTCGGTCGGCGCGCTCTTGACTTTCTCGAGGCGTCCTCCCGCCTGCTCGGCCAGCCCGGCTGGAAATCGCCGACTTTCCATCGCGAGCCTCGAGGCCCCTCGGCGCCCCTCGACGCCCCTCGACGCCCCTCGGCGCCCCTCGGCGCTTCCTTTTCCTTTCCTCCGCTCCGTTTCGTTCGACGCCCTCGAGCCGCGCTTCCCGCGGCGGCGTCGCGGAAAAAGGAACGAATCGGAAAATTGGGAAACGATTGCGACAGCCCCGGTTCTCGGCTCGCGGGCCGTAATTCCGGTTGCACCGCGCGAGAGTGGCGAAAACGCGGGGGAAGGTTTACGATACTCGAGGAGACGCGTTCGGCGTGCCGCGCCGAGCGGGCGTTAACGACGCCGTAAAGGTTGTCCGAGTGGCGTTCACCGAAGGGTGCCCGTCGATCGCCGCGAGAAAAACGTATCGAGACGGTCGACGCCGCGGGAAAACTGCGACAAAAATGAGAGGCGAGCCGAGGCGGTTATCCGCGCATCGACCGATGGCGCGGCCGCTTTCGACGCCGGTCCGCGACGCGAGAAATCGTCATCTCCACATTCCTCGGGCGCATCGCGTATGCGAAGGCACGCGTCCATCTTTTCACAATACGATTATTAACGCAACGAATTACTGCGTCCGCGACGCGCTCCTCTCCCCCCGCGGCGAATTAGCATAGAACCGCGCCCACTTATCGCGGAGAGGGTCATCCCTGGCCGGTCGCGGCGGCTCCGGCTTTGACCCGCGGGAAAACGCCAACTGGCGCGTCCCGCGTGTCGACCTACTCGAGTCGGCGCTCCTGACATTTAGGAGTCGTTAGCCGATCGCGATTATCCCCGCGAGCGCGAGCTTTTTACCGGGTTCTCCGGCCTCGGTCGGCCGTGGACACGGACGCGCTCGGCGAACGAGAGAATCGCGCGTCGCGTCGTCCTCGAAGGAAGAGAGAGCGCGTCGTCCTCGAGAGTTTTCGGGGCGGGAAAGGGCAATTACGTCCCCGCGGATCTTCCCGGCTCGCCGGTGCTCGCGACGGGAAGGCCGGGCGCAATTACGGGCGGAGCGCTGTTTGCGTGGTCGTTTAGCGCCGCCTTGAAGGAGCCTTTAAACGCGAGCCAGGTGCCGAAGGTCGCCACCAAAAGTGGCGCGCGACGCTTTCCGCCTCGGCGCCCCGTCTCGGTATCCGCAGGGATCGGCCGCTGCACTTTGCGGAGGTCCCGGAGGTCCGCGACACCGTCCGCGGGCACCGGCGACCTCGAGGCGCTCGACCGATCGAAAGGACGTTCAAAAGTTGCTCAACCGGCGCTCAACGATCACGGTTAAATCGACGCCGACGGAAAGAAGGGATCTAGCGGCCTCTTGCGTCACGCGAGTCGCGCGAGTCGCGCCGGTGCTGCACGTAGCGCGGCGTTACTCGGGTCTTGCAAGGTGCGATCGACGACCGCTGCCCGACGTCAAGGCTGTCGGAGAGCGCGACCTCGCCCCTAGGGCCACCCGGAGGAAGGACCTCCTCCGGCGAGGAGCGACCCGATCCGTCCCAGGCCACGCCTGGCGGGGATCCCGCCGACGTCGGGACGCAACGGGAGCGACGACATGAATAATCGCGATCACGGCTTCGCTTGCGTCAACGGCACGTTTCTGGCATGACCGAGCGGATGCGCCGCGGGACTTTCGTCGAGTCTCTAATCTCGGGGGATCCTTCCGTGTCCGGAGCTTCGCTCCCCTCCCCCGCTCGAGCAGGGTCCTGCCCAAAACTCCGAGACGCGTGCCGGGCGTCCAACTCTTCCGCGCGGCGGAAGAAGCGGAACGACGCGTCCGCTCCAACGTGCGTGGCCTGAGAACGTCCGTATTATCGATTCGAATGGGCCCTCGGCACTTCCAGGTGGAACCACCCGCAACCTGCCAAAAGGGGGGTACCGGGACCTGCTTTCTTTCGATCGGCTCTCGTTTCACCCCACGAGCGACTCGGGCTCGAGCGGGGGCGTCCTCGCGACTTCCGAGTTTTCACGGACAAATCTCCCGGAAGACGAGTACGCGTCCGAAGACGGGAAATACCCGAAGACGAGGCGTTTCGTGCATTCGAGATGACGAGACTCCTTCGTTCAGGGTCAAAGCGCAGGTCCCGTTCCAAGGTTCTTCCATTTGCGCGCGTTTTCGACCCTCCCGTCCCCCGGTTCCCTGCGACGAGCTTGCATCTCTTGTGGCGATTTCTCCACGCAGTGATGCGTTTTTTTTAATATATATATATAAATGCGCGGTCGATGCGTTTCTTGACGAATCGATTCTCAACCGTCTCGAGCGCGATCGAATCGCGGAAGCGGGAGCGCACGCGTCGCGCGCGTGACATGGGATTCTATGCGACGCGAGCTAGCTCTAACGAGCCAATCGGCGAATCCGCGTTCGCCCGTGAAGCGAGCGTTGCGTTTCTCCGCGACGGGAACGGCATGCAAGTGCCCCCGATAACCAAATGCGAGTCGCGGTAAAAGTCGAACGCGGTTACGTCCTGCGTGCGCGTGCTCGCCAAAGCGTGCGCGCCCGCGCCGGAGCGGCTCTCTCGGTTGCTCCCTCGTCGAAAGCGAAGGGATTCGTAAGAAATTCTCCCGAAGAGGGAGGACGGAAAAACGCGAAAAAGGTACATCCACCGAGTGGGGGGGAAAGCCGAGGAAGGCGTGCGGCCATGTACCCTTTGGAATAGCCTCAGTCTGGATTTTATGGACTTAAGGTACCCCCAAGGTGGACCTCTTCGTAACTGGAGCTCGAGGATATCGATCCGACCCCGAGGCGTCCGCAGAATACGCCACGATGTAAATTCCACCCGAACTGCAAAGGTTGCGTCGACTCGAAGAAATTCAGGCTTTTGGCCCGGACGTATAACGGAGACGGAGAGCAATCGTCGAAAACGCTGCCACGTCGCAAGGGGACTGTTCTTCCTCGGATGAGAGCGTCGCGACAGGTGTCGCGCACTTTCTTCGGTGGATGGTCCTCCGGAATTTAATCTATAGAGGCGATTTCTCTGTGGCGACAAA